ACCAGACATTCTGTCTTCTCTTAATTGAGTGAATATTATGGTGAAGACGGCATGCGATCGACTGCTGGTTTCGTTCATATTAGTCGAGGCAACAGTTCTTTAAGACAAATCAAACTAAATAATATGTCAGCATTTAGTTGACCATTGAATACCTGGCTTTGTTTCCCTCATCCATTATGTCTCGAATATCCTCATAAGAAGTGACGGCTAATTTGGACAAATCTTCAACATATGGTCCGAGCACTGGGTGCTCGCGAACACGCAATGAACCCTTATTTTTTGGATTCAACAGATCTCTAACTCTTTCGCAATAGATCTCCATATAAGAGACCTCAACGGAATACATGACTTCATTATTGTCTTCAAATTGGATTCTATTGAATAAGTCTTTGCAAATGTGAGGAATGATGCCCTCATCGTCCTGTTTACCCATCATTGTATAGCTCTTTCCGCCACCGGTCTGGCCGTACGCGAAGATACACACGTTATAGCCCTCGAAGGCATGCGCTAACATCTCTTCACCGATGTCTCGATAGACTACCTCCTGATCCGCAAAATTAGGATCAGCCGAGTCATGAGACCAATACGAGTAGTCAAATGTGAATGTTTTATAAGAATCCGGTATTTTTGGGTTACAAATTGCTATTCATAATAATAGTGAAAACATAAGCACATTAAATAAACAGAATTTTATAATAATAGACATTAATTTTTAATTACTTGTCGTTTGGCCGCTCATTGAGATTATGTTTTTTGAGTTATAACTATATTCCCTATTATTGAAGGGTCGGACACGAACCGCCACTTTTACAGACGACATCTTTGCAGGTTTTAATGAATAAACTTCACAAAAATACTGAAAATAAACATTATATAATCAATTTAGTAAATATTTAATTTCACATTGCTTATATCAATTTGATATTTGAGATGTATTATTATTACTGTAAGAATCGGTAGAAAACTGTATGTTTGAGGGGCAAAATGTCTTCACTGCATAGCTATAATTCTTATAAATCCTATCATAGCTAATGGTAACATTTAATTATTAAATAATACAAGTAAGAATAGTGCACAAATAAAAATAATGTAATTAAAATAATATATGATAATAAGGTAAAATACAAATATTTGCTCACATTCTTTGATTAATGGCTTCTCTATTCAGATCTATTGTGATGAAAGTCTAATTCAATATTGAGTAAAACGATTCAAAAAAATATTTTATTACATTAGTTATTCCAAAAAGAATTAAATCACAAAATTTCTATAAAATATGTCAATATTTTAAATATATATTAAACAAAAATATTGTTAAATGAATGCAAATCAATAGAATATAGCATTCATATTACTATGACTTCGCAGACAAGCCGTAAATATTTATGGCTCTTATACTGTACTCCATAGAGAGAGTCTATACAACAAATGAATGGCTTTGGATGACGTTTGGAGTACTGGAAGACATGACTGGGCTATGAATCGGATCAATAAATATGATAGAAATGATATAACTGCCGGTGCATTGAAAAAGACTGTCGTATTAAACGTTTAGTTATTAAATATTTTTATTGTTTTGTTTAAATAATGTTTTTATTATATACCAAATAATATTCATATTAATACAAATGCTGTACTGATATTTGGATCACTAACATTGTAATGTTAAAATAAAAGTAATAAAATTTATTCATTAGATTGATAGAAAAATAAAGCATATGCTCGTATTACAGTAATATTAAATACTTTGATAATGTTTTCAAGTTATTTTATAATTAAGTAATGTATGAATATAAATAGTATTAGAATCTTAAAATTCTTACAAATTATTTATTTAATTGCATTAAGAGTTCATTACAGAACTGTATACCGTGCTCTCATCACCATCATGGTAATGCTGTAGCCCTTGCTGCAATTAAAATGTATATGTTCTATATATTGTACCGTAAATAACTGCAAGTTATGCTATATTGTAGTACAGGTATGATAAGAATATTAAAGATTAAGGACTTATGAATTGCATACTCTATTACCGGTAGTGAAGCGGTGTTGGAGTTTAAACCGCTTACTTGACTTATAATTACTCATAATTATATCTATAGAAACTAATTATTCATTTCCATTTCTTATTATTGACTTTTTATTATTACTCGATATTTAATGTATTTATTGTACAGCTGTTTGTAATCTCTTATCAGAAAATGATAATCAATTCAATGTCAAGAGAACTACTTTTCTGAGTCGAGAGTGGAGTGGCTGCTGATGATTGAAAGCATTCCTATTTTGGAGACTCAAGGAGTCGGTTGACAGGACTCACTCGAGACAACAGCACTTAATTATTCTTAATTGTAAATCATTTATTAATTTCTTAATTCAATACAAATAAATCTTAAGTTAATATTGTGAACGAGAAGTGTTTATTATAAGCTGTGAGAACTGAAGGGCTGTAGAAGTGCTGCCTAAGAGTAAATCAGACCATAAGACCTGTTCAGCTAAGAGCCATACATCCCATTATCGCTGTTCAGGCGCTGGATCAGTCATATCCAGTGGTCATAGTCTTTGGAAGGCTTGGCTCACCGTTTCAGTAGACAGTAAATATTATTCTGTATTATAGAATATAACCTTCAACTTTATCGTAATATTTAACATTTAGTGACCGGTAATTTGTTAATTACTTTCATAGTACTGTTTTTGTATGTTAAGCTACAATGAAAATAACTTTATCGTAAAAAATTGCAAAAAATAAAAAATTCAAAGGAAACATATAGGAAGTACAGTATTCATGAAAGCAATATACAGTACACGAATAGTTAATTTATTATCATTTGATGTCAAGTATAAATAAAATATTATGATAAATAATCATTAAATGACAAAACTATTTATTTTTTAAAATTCATTAGTTTTATTCAATGTTTATAAATAAAATTATTGATTCAAATCGTGGGTTATAAGAGCCTGAAGTGATAACTCGAGTGCAGAGCAGGGCTGCGCTAAATCAAAATTAGTGATCACTTGCGGGTGAAGGACACCCATAATTCCCACCACTTTATCGTTGACCACAACTTCAGCGCAACGGCCCGACAAAAAGCGCGGATCTGTTTGAAGAATACATACCGTATTATAAGTCTTAAAAACAAATGAAAATTGATTGTCAAACCATTAGCCGCTCTAATGAAATATCCGACGCCTTTTTTATTGGCAGAAAAGGGAATTTCCAACACATGGAGAATACGATCCAATAACCCATGAATGATCTCAAAACCCGGTGTTTTGTTGTAATAAATAGCAGACAAATAGCGCTCATTCCTGGCGCCCACTTCTAAATAAGTGATAGTATTATTGAATTTAGTGAATACCGTTAATACCGACAATCATTCATACCTTCATTACTGTCTTTGAAAATAACATCTGAGATCTCAAAAAGTTTGAGCGGAAGAGGTATTTGTTTGTTGGAGTAAATGGTTTTGAGGAGTCCGGGCAATAGGGAAGTGCGACCGACTTGGAAGTCGAATGTCTTTGGGTTCGCCACATGGACTGCCTTTGAAAGCGAGTCCTTTCTTCGCATTTTCTCTCCGATATCGTCGCGAGAGCACTAAAACCATAACAATATTAATGGCATTGCAATCAACGAGTGAATGGAGTTATGTTACTAAAGAGAATGTTAGGATTTCGGTATAACCGCATCGGGAGATCTCGTATCTCAACTGATCGGTCACTTTGTTTAGAAAGAATTGGTGGCCAATGGTCTGCGTCTTGGGAACTGTGAACTCAATGTTATTATATCCGTAAGCAATGCCCACGTCTTCCAATATATCGCAGGCGTGAAGTATGTCCTGACGGATGGGAGGGATTCGTACTCTCAGTAACTGCTCGTCAATTACTTCAGACCCCAAACTCATTCGCTTTAGTAAAGTGTTTATCTGTTGCGCCGTTTGACTGCAATATAAATCAAGTATTAGTTACTTATTACCGGTAAAAGTAATTAATTAGTTGTGTATTCATATATACCTAATGCCAAGATTTTTGTTAAAATAATCCACTGAAACAGTCTCCTCTCTATATTTGAGTGTCTAAAATAAGTAATAATTATTGTCTAATTGTATAAAACAAATAAATTGTGCTAAAAATTACCGGAAACAAATCCCGTGATGTGTCAGATTGAGTCACTTCAACACTTTCCACACTATTAATAATTACAAACATTAGTTATTATCGCTAATACGGTAGTTACTATTAAAGACAATAATTGTTTAATAAATAACTTACGTAAACTTTTGCTCAGAATATTCACTGAACATTGAGACAAATGTGTCCAAAACTAGTTTGGCTTTATATAAGTCCGTTGCAGTCATTTCAATAAATATATTTTTCGTTTTAAGTGTTATTTTACTGTGATCGCCTGAAATTGTATTTTATCAACACTTTTAATATGTTTTAATACAAAAGGTTAACAATTTCTAAATACCGTTAATGATTGGAGGCATCGATAAAATGACATTGTTTTGGTCATAGATTACGGGATAGACGGGACTGTCTTTAATGATATGCAAAAACGGTTTCAAGTGGTCGTCAGTCTGTAATTCATTCATTCATTTAAACGTTCATTCAGTGAGCCGTCATATACTCACAGAATACAATTCCATGAGTTCAGTGGCCGTGTATTCTTTGGTCTGTTTCAATGGTCTGAATTTGATATCATTGGGAACTCTGGCGTCATAAAAGAAGGGACCCTTCACTGTATCCAAATCATGGGCACCGATAGCTACCAGAGTCCGCTTTCTATGTCATGTAAGTACAAGAGTTAGAGTTAAAACACAGGTACACATCAATTAGTCGATGAAAGACCTGCAGAGGTTTTGATGGAGTTTTTCCTGTAAATCAATAAAACTGTCGTATATTTCTTGAGTGAAATGAATGCCTCGAAGAATGGCTGCCACAGCATAGGGTCGGACTTGCATTGTCTGTATAAGAGATCGACAAATATATCAAAATCGATCCCATTGTCAGTCATTAAACACTGAAGACATACATTAGGAAGTACTATGAGTTGTTGCAACTGAGCCTTCGGTGGTGTAATGGCTCTGTATTCGGGAATTTGGGCTCTAATTCAATATAAGAGATGCCATTCAATGAAACAATGAAAGCATACAATCAATGATAACATACTTTCCCAGAAATATGAGAAGCGCTCGGACGAGACCTTCGATGCAAAGCAAGTCATAGCTTCGAGAAAATGACAAAACATTCAAAACATTGCTTTCCGTAACAATTAACTCGTTATCTACCGATTGGCGGGGATTTCGATGCGATATATGACGTCCTCTGCGGCCCCCTTCGACCGATCCATACCCTGCTCTTTGGCCTTCATCTGCTTCTCCGATGTCTGACATAAACACATAAATTGTCTCATTTTGGTGACCACAACATAATCATCAACTCATTTACCACTTCATCCAACTCTATGCCGAACTCAAAGCATAGTTCATCGAATGCTTCCTCAGCTTTAAGATCAAAACAAACCATCAATTAGTGAATCATTTCAGTAATAAAAAAGTTGGACTCAAAGACTGACTGAAGTGAGTGTCGAGTAGTTTGAAGAGAAGATCTCTGTTGACATTGATTGTGGGCATTGTGGCGGTTGTGGGGATTGTGTGGCGGATGTGCTAATTGTCACCTAATTGTCACCAATAAGACCAATACGACTGCAATCACTGCAATCAGTCACCAATAGTTGCATCACTCGTCCAATGGATGCAAAACGTGTCCAAACATTGCAAACAATCACTCACTCGAAGCGTACGTCTTATATGAACGCATCACTCATTTGAAGTCACTTTCATGTGATTTATTGATTGAATAGTATTTTGAACTCAATTTATATTTAATTGATTTGAATGTGAGTTACAATTAAAAGACAAAAATTGCGGACAAAAAGTGGTTTAAGAGAAGATGAGTTCAAAAGAGAAATCTGAGGACCAATTGGGCCGACAATGGGATAAATTCATCTCCAATTCAGTGCTGAAAATGGGTTCGTGTTTGCCATCAATGGTCTCATCCGTGATGACCGGTCTTACCGTCTTATGACATGAATGTCTGATCCATAGGTACGGGTGTTATCATCGGTAGTGTCTTCTCATTACTGGTCTTCCGACGAAGAGTCTGGCCGTTAGTGTTTGGTTCGGGCATTGGTTTGGGTTTCGCATCCAATCAACTGCAGACTGATTTGAATCAATTGAATCGATAATGTATTGCAGAAGTTGTCGATCGATGGCATAGTTTATAGGAATTAAAAGTTTATTAATTAGTATTTGAATTGATTTATTGAATATAATTAGAAAAAGTAATGTTTTAAGTAATAGTTATTAAATTAAGAGCTATTCTTATATACAATCTATTGCTTTGCAATCAATATAAGATACTTATAATTAAATTGATGTCAAATATATGTAAATTCAATATAAAATCTCCAAAATAATCAAATTATAAAACATTAGTCTTTCCACAATTGGATTACAATATAATTACAATACAAACAAAATTAATATAAAATAATTAATATAAAATAATGGATGCAATGAATGCATAGTTTGATTGATATGTCAAACAAAATGAGAATGTATTGAATGATTGCAACAAAACCGCTAACACTTTGTCTATAGTTTGTATTCCCAGACAATACAGTGGGCGTGAAGTGAAGAATAAGGGGTATCACTGAGAGTTCCCCTCTTATAACCGTTGCCACCCGTCAGCAAAAGCGCGGTTTTACTGTTAGCACAGGTAGTGTTGGGCGCCGTGTCATAGATGGGTATCATTTGTTCCTGTCTTCTCACGTGACTTGCATTCGCCGGAGATTTACTGCATTCGTAGATACTATTTGTCAATCGGGCCGTCGATGCCGTTCTTGAGCTCAAATTACTGCCACTTTCGTAGATGTGATTGCGTTGACCTTTGGCCACATTATTCACTTCTTCCGCAGTCATCGACACTATATTTGCGTTTTTCTGAGTCTGAAGAGCTCTCTGCTGTGATCCGTCGTGATATATAGCACTACTGGAGGCGCTCTCGGATGTCGAGTCGTCCGATATATTCATATTAGACAAATCCCACGCCATTTTGGTTGTGGTGATGGTATGTGAGGGACGCCTCACTCCCACATAATCGCCGACATTCAACAGATCAGAGTAGAGTCCGTATATAGACTCGACGTCTTCGTTCTTGGAGTCCATGGCATTGTCTGACTTGTTGGCGACATTTCCAGTATTTTGCGGCGAATTCGGAGACTCTATACCAGCGTTAAGACTCAATAGGATATTGACGGGACCTATATGTCTGTGAAGGGCTACGTTTAGACACCCGGATATGAGGGGAACGCCTTGTAGTCGAGGAAGAGTCAGCGTCACAATCACTCCGACATTAGTTCCAACCCATAGTAAGCCTCTGGTGGCCAGCATTGATGTCACTGTTATCTTGACATCTGAGCCTTCGTTCAGAATTCTCTTGACATTTGAGGCGACATTCAAGTCTTGCAAGTGCTTAAAGGTCTCCGTATGGAAGAGTTTGATGATCGATGAGTCGATGAGACTCACCCACAGGCCTATACCACAATGGGCTAAGAGGTTAGGTCTCACGTTATCCTCAATACTTTGACAAATATCTGAGTCTTCAGAGTCTGTGCTCCTCAAGGAATAGCTGCGCTCCACTTCAACGCCACTAATGATCCAAATCTTATCATCAGAACAGGCGAACACTTCTTCATTAATGGGAAGAATACAAGTGACGGGCCTTTGAGAGAGAGTTATAATAATAGGCTCTTCATAATGAGTGGCATTGAAGAGCGCCACCACTCCAGAGATGAGTCCGACGTAAACATATTGTCCGAAATGCTTAATACAAGTCACTTCACTGGCGACGTCGAGGGCTGCGAACTGTTGCCATTCGGCTGGAGAGCTGGCGTCGATCACTATAATCCTTCCCTGACGTAAGCCAATCCATACTGAATAAGAGCCCACGGACTCAATGCATGTCACGTGTGAGTCACACAATTCGTATGAATGAATGAGACTGATATCAGTGCCATTTGTGGACAGAGCGCCCAATTGGGAACCGCTTTCGTTCACATTACAGATCCATAAGACACCTGAATCTGATTCAAGAGTGAGTCCATCGCCGCTTCGATACAGTTTGTAATGAAGAGCGCAAATCAGTTGTGAGCCATCACTCGTCGCAAAGATTGGAAGCGATTTGACAAATAGAGGAACGCGTTGTGGAACTATAGCATTGAGGTGGTTGGACGAGGAGGAGATGCTTTCCGTGACTATATCCCAGGCCGGGTTGTTGGCCCGATCCAGAGCCAGTTTAGCCAATCGCACGTCTATCAGCCAATCGCGTTTCACTTCAGGATCAGTCATTTGAATACAAATGATATCCTTGTAGTTCTTGGAGCGGATCCTCAACTGAAGACAACTCTTGTCAATGAGAGTGATTTGTGCGTCTTTTCGACGAATCTCTTCTCTAATCTCTGCACTGATTTGTTCGGTTAATTCGATGGATAATCCGTTGTATTGATAGCGCAAAGTGGACACCAAATTAGTAATACGACTCAATAGTTCCAAATCATGGATCAAATTATTCAGATCACAATACATTCGCTCGACTGTACAGTGCTTTGGAGACGAGGCAGATGTGGCCTCTGTTTACCGAAAAACAAGATAACAGTTACCCTATGAGTGATTTGTTGGTGTGATAGTTGTGGTGAAAAAGAGACTAACCTTTGGTTCTCAAGAGAGAGTTGGCGATGAGGTTATTGGTGGCGGGCGTCACGTCGTCGATGGCGTCCACGTCTTGTAAAGAGACGGCAAACTTGAGTCGATTGGCGGGAACGCTGACACAGACCAACATGTCGTTCAATAAGTATAGTTTACGGCACTTAGTCTTCATGACGAGTCCAGTGCTGGCGTCCAAATCCAGTTGATAGACATCGTCTTGTCGTAGAAGGAATCGGTGCGAAGAGTTTGTCGTAGAGTTACTTAAATAATCCTTAAGTAGTTGTTTGACAGCAAAATGTCTTTCGGCGTCGCGTTTCCGTTCATTGAGTCTATCGGCCAGTGATTCGAGTTGTGTGAGCGCTAACTGGAGAGACATGCGGTCCGGATGTTCGGCCGGCGTGTGCTTCAGAAGATCACTCAACAGGAGTATGAATTGCGGGAATCGTTGCACGGGTTTAACCATAAGCCCAAAAAAGCTGAGCCGATCGGGACTAGAGAGCGATTTGTCGCGTAAGAACTGCGCGAAAGACGACTTGGATTTCGAGGCCTTTCTCGCCGTTTCCATTGCATTCGTGAAGTTGTTTATGAAATCCGAATATATGTCTAAAACCATGGATTTGGAAAAGGATGCGATGAACACATCGCCGATGCGCTCCTTCTCATCCCATTCCCGCACGCATTGACTCAAAGCTATACCAAAGATGGTATGGCATTGAAGTATTTGTTCCAATCGGTAGAAGATTACATTAATCTTGTTTTGACTCAAAACGCTTGGATTTGATTCTTCCAAAGGCTTCTTGTATTCGGAGATAATTCGCTGCAAAGAATTAATATAAGAGTTCTCGGAGTCGACTACCGATCCGATTATATATCTCCTCTTCAGCTGCTCCTGAGTTAAGCCCTGCGGAGGTATTTCCGGCAAACATATGGGAGGCCTTTGCTTTTTGGACAGTTTTATATCAATGTATGGGTTCTCATCTTCGCTGTACGCCTCTTGGTTTGGCGAAGACTTCTTGCGAGTGGAGAACCAACGCGTGAAACTCGAAGAACCCAATGACCTCTTGCTGTCCTTTTTCTTATAACTTTGAAGGCTAAGAGTGTCGGCGTATTGGGCGCGGAGTGACGACAGCGTCAGGAAATCAATCTCTTCGTAGATGTTGTCTTCGGCGCGATTGCTTCGATGCGACTCTTCGTACAGCATATAAAAGGGTTCCTTAAATGGCATCGATTGCATCGCTCGGCCATAATCTCCGGTATTATTACTGTTAGAATTGGGAGATATGTTGTTCACAGAGGACCCGTTGTTGCTGTTGGAGGAACCGCTCAGGAGTCCGGTGTTCGTGTCATTCATAAGCATTGTTTCGAAGTCAAGGTTGAGATTCTCGAGGATTTGTTCCTGTCTTTGCTGTAGTCTTGAAATCTCATTAGTGATGGAGTCGTAGCTAAACATAATGGGCTCTGATTTGCGACGTCTTCGGGCAAGACTTGAGGCACCGGTGGTTGCTATGAGACCATCAGAATCGGACACATTTGAGGCGACGGCAGAAGAGTTATTGGCGTTGGCTTTGGACTTCTTCTTCCGGAGCAGAGGACTGACGCCATTAGCGAACAGAGACAGCGATCTCTGATATATTCCCTGCTTTTGAGTACTTTTGCTGAAGAGGTTGGGCTTCTTATTTGATTGTAGATTTCGAGGCAAACTCTCGGACCCGTGTCTGGTGTCCGCTTCGATGGTCAGCAATGGATTGGCAAATGAAGTGATTTGTGAGGCGTTACCACCAGATGTGGTGTTATTGTTAGCGATTCCGTAATGGGATTGAGAGCTACTCAGGAGGTTGTGGTGAGTGTTAGCACTACTACTGGACGGTCGGGACAACGACTGCGAGCAACGAGAGGCCGATCGCAGCTCATCCACCGACTGATGGGTCACCACATTAGTGGCCAAACTGTCGCTGACTGTCGAGGAATGGGTCAACTGATTGTTGTTGATGTTGTTGTTGCTGTTGTTTAAGACATTGTTATTACTGTTATTACTATTATTACTATTATTACTATTAGTGCTGTTAATGGTATTAATCGTATTAATGGTACTAATGGTCTGATTATCCTTTTTGATGAGCTCTCCGTAATAATAGGGAGCTTTGCTATTGGCAGACATCACCACGACTTAGTCCACATACACATCAACTACATCATACACTATGACACACACCACTCGCGGATCAGCTCTGGAAAGGCTATCAACTGCCGACACGATGTCATCTCAAGTGACAAATAGTGAGCACAACATCAGATGTATTGCTGTATTGATGCCACAAATCACTCAATGAGTGCTAAATCTATGAATCAATGATTATTCGCTGTTTTTATTACATTAACTCTCCTATCGATACATCGCTCACTACACACATCGATACTATCGACCCGTTTATGCCTTCACTAAACGTATCACTCAATCGATTATTTGTTGCCTTTTTCAACATCACAGACAGTCTATTGAACCAAACTTTTGACAACTCTTGACACTTCCGAAGCTATATTAGACCATTCATTCACGAGTGACCCTCACATTCACAATACACTTGTCGCTCATTTTATATCATTGTTTAATTGTAGCAAACATTCAACCAAAATCTTATATAAATCACAATATTGGCAAATGCTTGGAGTATAGGACAGGTGCAGTCATAGCACCATCATATGAATTACCATTCATTTATGCTTTCTATTTCATCAATCTCTGTTGTCACTATTAAACTCAATTATTATTTTGCAATTTAATTTATAGCTTTGATTGCTGTACCAAATTATTAAATTACAAACGAATTTTTTTATTATTATATATTTAGACAAGATAGTACTGTAGATTGAAAAGTTAAAATATTCACTTAAGTATGCGTTAAACAAGTTTTCTGGTATTAGGGATCTTTTCTTGCAATATAGTACTGATTCATAGTATGCATACAATTTGACAATTGCTAGGAAATCACATAAATGTAAGAATTGGTGGTGAAGTGTTTGGTCAATGATAGGCATGTGTGGTGTATGGCATTCACATGAACTCAACTTTGCACTGATTCTAGTGTCGGCTAAATATTGTATAAAGAATATACAATACAATGATAAGGGAAATAAATAAATTAGTTGTGGTAATTGAAAGCAATTGGATTCACTAATTTAACTTTTAGGCTTCGAGTTAACCTCTAATAGTGTTTACTTAAGTCAAATAAATCTAATATCATATTTTATTCAATATTCTGTGTGTTAGACTAATGTGCAAGTTTATGATATTTCTAAATTTTAGCTTAAATTTCACGCAAATACATAACAGTAAATATTATTCATAAGACTAGTAGCCAATCAAAGTTACACTAAACTCAAGAATTGCTATTACTGTATATATGATACTGTACTAGATTCTATATTCTAAGTTATTCTATCTAAAATTAAATTTAATATTTTTGAAATTCTTGTTTAGAATGATATTCAATTTCAATAGATATTTGAAATATGCAATAAGATTCCAGTTTCCAATTAAATTTAAGCCAACTTTAACATGCAAATTTATTTTAAGCTAAATGTAAGCTTTACTGATATTTTATTCAATACACGGTACTGTGATTAACGTTAATTCAATTTGCAATAACATTTTCTAATGTACAGTGGAATGACATAACACACTATAAATAAATGTATAGACTGTATTGTAGTCAATATCAGTACATCAGTTACAATCTTAAGACAAGATAATATATGTTCAATCATATTCATCGCTCCTATACAGTACCATAATATACCCTGCTAAAAATATAGAATTATACAAGTTAATTGATAAGTTTTAGCCAATATGTTGCAAAGGGTCTGATTATTGTTAATAAGTTTTAGACGATAATAGTTATACAAAAAGTAAATAGTGTGGAGAGTATGAGAATATGTGTTCACTAGTGGTCACCACTATAATGATGGCCATACTCTGTGCCCAAGAATGAGTGGTCACATGTATGATCACCACCGGTCACTGGACTATCATTTGTGACACAATTCCACTGACAGTGCATTCACTGCCTCTACCCGTCCACCCCTCAGCCCCCATATGGAGTGTACGTCGTGTATGAATGGCCCGTATTTCTAGAGAAATCGATCGCTTCACATGAGAAATAGGTTTTGATTGAGTTATTGAGTAATTGTTTGTCTATTGATTGCACTCACGAGGCATACACACCAACGAAGATGTCTTTCATTGGATTCAATGACATGGACGATATGTTCGGGTAAGTGTCTCATATGTGCATCTCATGGACCCGTTGTGAGTGGTGTGGATGTGTTGCAGACGAATGGACCGAATGATGGCATCGATGATGACAAACATGACAAACATGAACGACATGTTAGGAAGGGATCCGTTCGGACCCGCCTTCCCGATGCTCGCCTTCAACCCGGCAATGGATCCCATGTCGCGACTCATGCCTTCACCCGTTATGTTCCCGACGTCTTCGATGTCCTTCAGTCACCACATGAGCCCTCAGTATTCCTCTTACAGCACGTCTTCGTCGGTGATCTCAATGTCCACAGATATGAGCGGAAGGCCACAGATCTACGAGTCGTCGCACTCAAGTCGCGCGGGTCCGGGAGGGGTGAGGGAGACGACGAGCAGTGTTCGCGACTCACGCAGTGGTCTCCAGAAGATGTCAATCGGGCGTCACATCGAAGACAGGGCTCATGTGATGGAGAGGACGCGCAACCAATACACCGGAGATGAAGAGCACAACAATGAGTACATTAACATAGAGGTATCGTATCGTCTATATGTCCGTAGATGTGTCCACTGTTTTGCAATATTCATGTCTTTATGTCTTTATGTCAAACATTTTCATATGGATGTCAAGGAGGAGGAGGCGCCGCAGTTCAACACAGAGTTCAGTGAACGCATGGGTGCCTACGGACACCACTACCGACGCCCGCAACTGACGGCCTCGTCGTCCAGCCGCGGACCACCAATGCTGGCCCTCCCGGCGCCCACCACTCGCCACTCGTCAGCCGATGCCTCACCTCATTCTCATAGATCCGAGAAAACGCATCGAAACCACAAAATGTCTCTGAGACATTTTGTGGTTTCGATGCGTTTTCTCGGATCTATGAGAATGAGGTGAGGCATCGGCTGACGAGTGGCGAGTGGTGGGCGCCGGGAGGGCCAGCATTGGTGGTCCGCGGCTGGACGACGAGGCGGTCAGTTGCGGGCGTCGGTAGTGGTGTCCGTAGGCACCCATGCGTTCACTGAACTCTGTGTTGAACTGCGGCGCCTCCTCCTCCTTGACATCCATATGAAAATGAAGACATAAAGACATCAATATTGCAAAACAGTGGACACATCTGCGGACATATAGACGATACGATACCTCAATGTTTATGTACTCATTGTTGTGCTCTTCATCTCCGGTGTATTGGTTGCGCGTCCTCTCCATCACGTGAGCCCTGTCTTCGATATGACGCCCGATTGACATCTTCTGGAGACCACTGCGTGAGTCGCGAACACTGCTCGTCGTCTCCCTCACCCCTCCCGGACCCGCGCGACTCGAGTGCGACGACTCGTAGATCTGTGGCCTTCCGCTCATATCTGTGGTCATTGAGATCACCGACGAAGACGTGCTGTAAGAGGAATACTGAGGGCTCATGTGGTGACTGAAGGACATCGAAGACGTCGGGAACATAGCGGGTGAAGGCATGAGTCGCGACATGGGATCCATTGCCGGGTTGAAGGCGAGCATCGGGAAGGCGGGTCCGAACGGATCCCTTCCTAACATGTCGTTCATGTTTGTCATGTTTGTCATCATCGATGCCATCATTCGGTCCATTCGTCTGCAACACATCCACACCACTCACAACGAGTCCATGAGATGCACATATGAGACACTTACCCGAACATGTTGTCCATGTCATTGAATCCAATGAAAGACATCTTCGGTGGTGTGTATGCCTCGTGAGTGCAACCAATGAACAGACAATTACTCAATAACTCAATCAAAACCTATTTCTCATGTTTTGCGATCGATTTCTCTACAAATACGGGCCATTCATACACGACGTACACTCCATATGGGGGCTGAGAGGGGACGGGTAGAGGCAGTGAATGCACTGTCAGTGGAATTGTGTCACAAATGGTAGTCCAGTGACCGGTGATCATCATACATGTGACCACTCATTCTTGGGCACAGAGTATGGCCATCATTATAGTGGTGACCATTAGTGAACACATATTCTCATACTCTCCACACTATTTACTTTTTGTATAACTATTATAGTCTAGAACTTAGCAATAATCAGACCCTTTGCAACATATTGGCTAAAACTTATCAATTAAATTGAACTTGTAATTGTATATTTTTAGCAGGGTATATTATGGTTCTGTATGGAATTAATGAATCTATTATAGGAGCGATGAATATGATTGAAAATATATTTTTAATATGATTGTAACTGATTTACTGTAATTGACTACAGTACAATTATTGTAAAATTTACTACAATACGGTATATCATAGTCTATACATTTATTTATAGTGTGTTATGTCCATTTCACTGTATATTAGAAAATGTTATTGCAAATTGAATTAACGTTAATCACAGTTCCGTGTATTGAATAAAATATCAGTAAAGCTTACATTTAGCTTAAAATAAATTTGCATGTTAAAGTTGGCTTAAATTTAATTGGAAACTGGAATCTTATTGCATATTTCAAATATCTATTGAAATTGAATATCATTATAAACAAGAATTTCAAACATATTAAATTTTATTTTGGATAGAATAACTTAGAATATAGAATCTAGTACAGTATCATATATAATAGCAATTCTTGAGTTTATCGTAACTTTGATTGGCTACTAATCTTATGATTCATAAGATCCTTACTTTATTATTACATTAATTTTCACCCATAATATTTGCCACCTATACACATAATGACACTAATTATGTTTTGAATAAGTGATAAAACTAGTCAAAAACTAAAAGTTTTAAAATTAGGAAATTAATAATTTCAGACGAGAATTCAATTGATAAAACACTCAAACCTTTATTAATCGATGAAAAAATATATTATGAATAATAAAATTTCCTGAGTAATCAACAAATTTAAAGAAAATTGTAATAAATAGTCATTCAATTTTATCAAATGAGTGTTTATATAAACAAATATTCATATAAAATTATTATAAAGAATTAATATTTTTGAAAATCAAAAACTGATTAAATTAATGAATGTGTTTTGTATGAATCACAGGGATACACTTAGCCCATTTTTAAAAACCCACTTTTTATCCATTTTTCTTGCATTCCTATTCATAAGTTATAAACAATATTTACTATTATATTTGCGTGAAATTTAAGCTAAATGTTTAAAAAACAAAATTCAGAAATATCATAAACTTGCACATTAGTCTAATCTAACACAGAGAATATTGAATAAAATATGATATTAGATGTATTTGACTTAAGTAAACACTATTAGAGGTTAACTCGAAGCCTAAAAGTTAAATTAGTGAATCCAATTGCTTTCAATTACCACAACTAATTTATTTATTTCCCTTATCATTGTATTGTATATACAATATTTAGCCGACACTAGAATCAGTGCAAAGTTGAGTGGTACACTTACGGTATGTGGTGTGTACGGATAGTAACTGGTTTGTGAAGTGGTGGTTAAGAATGTAAATACACTAAAGGATCGTTAACAGTTTAACATACGTATGATACTTAGTCATGATATAACGTTGAAATGATCTCTAATACCAGAAAACTTGTTTAACGCATACTTAAGTGAATATTTTAACTTTTCAATCTACAGTACTATCTTGTCTAAATATATAATAATAATAAAATTCAATTGTAATTTAATAATTTGGTACAGCAATCAAAGCTATAAATTAAATTGCAAAATAATAATTGAGTTTAATTGTGACCACAGAGGTTCATGAAATAGAAAGCATAAATGAATAGTAATTCATATGATGGTGCTATGACTGCACCTGTCCTATACTCCAAGCATTTGCCAATATTGTGATTTATATAAGATTTTGGTTCAATGTTAGCTACAATTAAACAATGATATAAAATGAGCGACAAGTGTATTGTGAATATGAGGGTCACTCGTGAATGAATGGTCTAATATAGCTTCGGAAGTGTCAAGTGTTGTCCGTAGTGGTCAAAAGTTTGGTTCAATAGACTGTCTGTGATGTTGAAAAAGGCAACAAATAATCGATTGAGTGATACGTTTAGCGAAGGCATAAACGGGTCGATAGTATCGATGTGTTTAGTGAGCGATGTATCGATAGGAGAGTTAATGTAATAAAAACAGCGAAAATAATTGATTCATAGATTTAGCACTCATTGAGTGATTTGTGGCATCAATACAGCAATACATCTGATGTGCGAACTATTTGTCACTTGAGATGACATCGTGTCGGCAGTTCATAGCCTTTCCAGAGCTGATCCGCGAGTGGTGTGTGTCATAGTGTATGATGTAGTTGATGTGTATGTGGACTAAGTCGTGGTGATGTCTGCCAATAGCAAAGCTCCCTATTATTACGGAGAGCTCATCAAAAAGGATAATCAGACCATTAGTACCATTAATACCATTAATACGATTACCACTAATAGTAATAATAGTAATAACAATGTCTTAAACAACAGCAACAACAACATCAACAACAATCAGTTGACCCATTCCTCGACAGTCAGCGACAGTTTGGCCACTAATGTGGTGACCCATCAGTCGGTGGATGAGCTGCGAT